ATTGCAACAAATATTTCTAAAAGTAGAGTATGAGATAGGCAATGGAAAGAGCACTGTTAAAATCTTCGTAGTCTATTCTTAGCGTAAAGCTTTACGAACAAGAACTCTTGTCTTTACTCACCGATATTCATTTACTTCAGAAGGAATATACCATCGACATGTTCGCTTTCTGAATGTGCCCCAAATCCACGATGTTTTGGTTTCTTGCGGCGCTGTCATCTAGAAAAATAAAATAGGAGAAGTTGATCTTTGCTGCGCCAACGAGCGACAATACAATAATTCATCTTGTTTTAACTCAGAAAATCAAATCTCGGTTCTTTTCGCCGTAACTAGAAAATTAAACTTTAGGTCTTGACTTTTCGCTGCTCATTAAACTTGTGGTCAATGACTTTCGCTGCTGCTCATTAAACTTGTAGTCAATGACTTTCGCGGAGCACACTTCATACAGCTTATTAATGTGCCGATATGTTACATGTCACAACAAACAATTGCGACTGAGAATTTGACTTTATTTCTTGGGAAGAGAGTATATCAGTGTTCTTGTAAACGTTCTGTTTCTAGACTAAACTCACCTCTTTTGCATCGACATTGTCACTCTCCTCATCCGAAATGAGATTGTTTTTACTCGAAGCGTCTTTTGGCATATTTCTTTGGCGTCTGGAATGCGGCGATCAAACTTCTTGCTGAAGAGATGCTGTGGACATAAACCTATATCACTTGGCACTATTCGGTGATACGGTGATTTTTCTCGACTAAAAGATCAGCTCTGTCGTAGAATTTTCTTGACTTTTGCTGAGCATGCAAAATGACATCTTCACTGTGATCTGATTGCGGAATAAAACTAATATCAGGCAACTTCAAGGTCTTTAAACATCCGTGTACTTCCCGTTTCGTGAATTACGTACTAAAAACCTCTCGCACATGTTCAGACCAAAGATCAACACAATGTGAAGATCTGAGAACGACTGATCAATTGAACTTGCTTCAGTTCAGGAAAGAAACGACTACCCTATGTGAATGTTGTTGTTTGTTCGATAGGGTTGCGTGACACTAAAAAGCACGTGCTTGAAGTCAATATGAGGCAATTAATTAGTTTACAATTAACTCCAGAGTAGCTGCACATGCACAGGCCAACCAAGGGAAGAGAGTATTGCTAACATGTTGAATTTGCGATAACTGTTCTCAACTGTTCTTTTTTTCTCTGCCACACCACAGGAGCCCATAAAACAAAATAATTCGAAGTCAAATGATGTGATTTAAGGCGTATACGTATTTTGTTGGTTTTTCTTTTACCTTATTCATCCCTCTGACGACAGTACTTCGGGTTTTGGCCTTAAGCGAGTTGTTATTAAACATTTCAAATTGTTTGGCCAATGATATTGGACCCACATGGCCTCATATCTTTGTATTCAGTTTTTTTTCATTTTTTTGGCAGCCAAACGTATGAGGACGGGGGAAACTGAAATCGAATTAATAGCGAAATTTACTGTACAATACAACAACTGTCGATAGAGAATCTACTGAGTCTGGTATTTTTCTCTTGCTACTAATAAACTAAGTAAAATGTTAACAAGGAAAATAACAGGCAGTCTTAAAATTAAAAAAGGAGCAAGCCGATGGGGCTAGCGACTTCAAAAGATTTTAAAAATTCTTGAATGAAAGAAAGAGGTTTCACGGCGGAAGTTAAATGTTTCGGCATGTCACGTCCTCCTGCACACTCCTTTTGCGGTTATTTGAGGTCTACAAGTTTTTGCTACGGCCATGAAATCTTGTAGCGTCTTGAGAAATAGTGTGATTGCCTAACAGTGTTTAATTTCTTCCTGAGTTTGATAATTCTGCACTCAAACACACGTGTAGCTTTCCTGTCTTGTGGCAACTAAATAATTACTTATATAGCACCGTCAAAATGAATAAAAATCCGGAGAACATAAACCGATAACTTTCTTCACTTCGACGTTTTGTTTCTTTAAAGGAAATCTTCCAAAATCATGCGGAAAACATCTTGATTTTCGCTGTCCCAGGTTGCGGTAGATAAGACACAGAAAACACGACAGTTTCTACTTACAAAGGCGCAAAATTGCCTCCAATTTCCCGGTTCCACGATCATCCGTTTACAGACCTTACCGTAAGTGCTCCACTTCCTTTTAAAAAGTCTTGCTCTCCAAGAAAGAGTTTCACTTTTTAATTCTTTGAAAAGCTCTTTTAAATAAGGGCGATATGGAATACAACATTACGAGCAAAATTTAAACATCCGAACAGTGCTACAACAGCAAACACGACCTCGTACGTTGCAACAAAATACAGCAATATTTTTAAGCCAGATTTTAACTCGAAACCAGCTTTTCTCGGTTGTAAGGGAAGGAACGGTGGCAGGATCTGAGCCACGGTGATGGAACAAGGAGTAAACTTGTTGGCCAATTTCCCTCTTTCGTCGCCATTTTTTTCTCACTAGAGAAATATGAGGACGTCCTCGAAAACACATTAATTTCGCGGGAAAGCCTGTTCTAAAAATAATTCTTTTCGGGAATGGGTGGACTCAAGGGTACAGCACATATGAAGGCTTTAAGTAATCGGCTCCTGATAGAAGTCTTTTTTAAGAAATCAGTCACAACACACGTGTGGCTTTACAATCAATAACGAACCATTAAAGCAAAAGTAAAAACCTATCATATGTATCACAAAATTTAAAAAAAATTTAAGTTGAAAGATGCTAAGAAATGAATTTAAAAAGACACCTATTTACAAAAGCCCGTTTGAATCGTTCCGTTTTTACTGAAGGGGGTATGAATTCATGACCCCTTTCTCTAAGAACCCTATTACGTTTGGATGGAAGCAAGTCATACAATACATGACCAGTGTCACTTGTGATTCTGTTGAAAAGATCACTCTCCCTACTCTTAATCACTTCAGATATCAAAATGATCTTATTTGTATAGCCAAAACGACAGGCTCGCCAGCCCGCCTTGATATACAGAGCCCCATACTTCTAATCCATACAGGAATAATGACATTATCAAAGAGTCGAAAAGTTTACTAAGCTGGTCTTAAGTATACCCATAATATTTGCATACTCTAAGAATATACAGTCGACTAGCAGCTCTAGAGAGTAAACTGTCAATATGAAGATCCCAATTACAAGGATCTTCATGGAAAGTAATCCCCAAAAGTTTCAGCCATTCTTTCCGCTCAATCCCAGGCAGTAGAGGAGGAGAAAGCTTAGTATTTCTGCTGCGCAGTAGCATTTCCCATGTCTTTGACAAATTTAAAGACATCCTATTATTGGCTGCCCAGCTCTCAAGGTTCTTAACTACTGCTAGCGCTGTATCAGCGTTCCTTCTAAGAGGTATACTAATAGTGATGTCATCGGCATAATTCGATATCCCGTTGTTTGAATCAACTAGCTTTATTAATTATATCGTTCACCATCAGAGAGAATAAAAGTGGCCCAACGACTGTGCCCTAAGGCACCCCTCTGTTAACATCAACATAATCAGTAATCTTTCCATTTACGGCGACCCTCTGTTTGCGGTTGCTAAGGACGCTGATAATCCAGTTGATGATATCTATCACTGAGATTAATAGACTTCAACTCTTTACAGACTATTTTGTGAGAGACAGTGTCAATTGCTTTACTAAAGTCAAATGACAAGACTCGAACAAAGTCTACATCATCATCCAGCTACCCAAACCAATTATGTTGACACTATAGAAACGCCATCCTGGTATTGCAGTGTTCCTTATAAGCAAACGGATCCATAGCAATTAAGGCATGGGGCTCCATGAAAATCCCTTGTTTGCAGACTAGCCTCTCAGATGTGCGTAAGGGATATCAGTCGAATCTGAGCACATGATGACAGTGGAGATTCTTTGGGAATTTGTGAAATGTTGGCAAGCTTCTATGGAAGAGGAACTGACTGCTGTCTGAGTGAAGAGTAAAAACGTTTGGTGACAACTGGTGTAAGATGGTGTGAAAAATCTCTCCAAAGCCAATAAGGAAATCCTATGCACATCAAGAGAAGGGACGCTAGTACCTTCCGGAATAGGTAATAGTTCCGGGGCTGAGTACTGGGTATAAGTATTAATTATTTTGAAAAAACAGTATATGTCCACAGGGTTGATAACAGAGCTGATGTTTAATGCCTTAGACTCTCTGCCAGTGATTTTGTTTACAGTATTCCACCAAACCTTAGTCCCAGTTCCATGTTTTCTGTTTTCATTACGTAAAGCATGCACTTGGTTGTTGCGGGTGAGCTCATTTATCCTTGCTTGTAGGTCAGCATTCACATCGCAATATTTCTTGGTGTTCCTATTTCTGATGGACCCTGATGGTACACAGGTGTTTAACCAGTGGCGACATTCAAGGGGGTCCCATGAAGACACCTTCACTTTGACCAGGGGAAAGCATTCGTGGAATTTCCCCGTGAGGGCGTTATCCAGTAAGTGAATCGCCTTGGTAATATCGTCACAAGACAGTAAGTTGCTCCAAACGCCTGTGTCTAGCTTATGTTCCGTTTCAATCTTCCGATGTTCTTATCTCTGAAATTCACAATCGACCTGTCAGGTCTAGCAGTGATGCGAGGAGTGACCATAACAGCTAGGTGGTCTGACAGCACAAGACCATCAAGCGCAACTGGTGGTTTCCACAGGTGTGGGCACTTGGTAAGAAACACAACTAACACTTTATGGCCTCTTATGACTTTCCGCACCATCTGCTCAAGGATTTGTTGACTCATAAGATCCCGTACATTCAATTGGTTAATGTCCTCTGCAAAAATGATTCATTGAAAACAAAAGCAGTTAACGATTGGGCCTCACTGCCGAGTGAGCTCAAGAAACTAATGCCAAAAACGATTTTTAATTACAAATTGAAACAGTTTTTTTCAATTTGAACCGTATTTGGTATTTTTTATCTTAGTTTTAAACGATTTTTAAACACGAACTGAAACGTTTTTATAAAAAAACGGCAATAGTCCAGTCATTTTATGGAAAAAAATCGGTCAACCTGCCAGTAATTGCAACAGAAGGTTTTTCAACGGTTTTAGATTCTGCAATGTATCCTTATTAACATATCAAAAGTCCCAAAAAATCCCATTACGGGAAGTTACCAAAAAACGGGATTTATTATGAAGCTCTGAGACCCGTTTTATGAGTCCATGGGAACGAGGCTGACCTAAACTTTTTTTTTATAAGGCGTGTGAAAAGATCTTTAACTTTTAATAGTTAAATGCAATGAAATTTCGAGCTTACACGTTCAGTTTTAATGTGTTCTTAATACTTCAAGTGAGGAAATATATTATTTTGGTGAATAAAAGCTGCATTAGCTGGGCGCGTTTAAATAAACCTGTTTATTTATAGAGCTTTTTTGCGTGGTCTGTTTTGGTTGTTTGTGCTTTATAATTTTTGCTTTATTTTTCAGCTCGAAACTTAGCGAATTAATTTTGTTCATTTTGAAAATTAGGTATTTTAACAGAAATAAAATAACAGTTTCTGTGGGAAAATTAACCTTTGCGAGTTTCGAAGAAGTCGGTCTTACAGGAGCTGGCGCCATCGCTGTTACGCATGTACATTTCAGTAAGGAGTCTTTGTGCTTGCCCTGCATGTTTTTAATTTCTGTCGAGCAAAATGGCTAGAAGACGCGATTCTT